TTTTTTTTTTCTCCAGATTAATTCAGGTTGTTATATTCCTAGACTTTCACCAAGAGAGAATGATCTAAAAGAGCGAATCCCCCATACATGACCCTCTTTCCATGAAAATTATTTTCAATCTGTTCTAAGTTCTGTGTCATACTGCGTGGTTATTTTAAGGACGCCACCTTATTGGTCGGTTTGAGTGGCGTTATGTAGTTTTAAACTTGGCGAGTAATTCATTTCACTGCCGATCACGCACAGCTAGCGATATGACGTGCAAACTTAGCTGAAGGTAAATATCAACCACTTTCACCGCCACTGAGGTGATAATTGTTTTAGTATATACCACACAAGCTGGATAACTAGCGGACCAAAGAGTAACTTTATTTGTGACAATATACCGACAAATGGTCGGACAAAGAAATTCGCGCGTCGTGCGATGCACACTCGCGCTCACAAAGTCACATGATACGCAAGTCAGGTGATCAATTGAAAGAAAACGAAGTGAAATGAAACGAACGACTTCAAAAGTTCGATGATTTTCACTTAATTACATGTTTTGTTTAATTTGGATCTTACACGATATTCAAAGAAAAAGTCCCGTTTAATCCTTAAATGTTTTGCTGGGAACTGTTGCCTGGAAGATTGGCGGTAAAGTTGAAAGTGCAGCCGTGGAATGTACCGCCTGGAATCAAGCCATGAACAAGATGCTGGCTGTTCTTTAGTGACTGTTGAATTTCAACGGATTTAATTTTCTAGCGTTGTTTTCATCGGGAGGTGCCAATTTTGAATGGATGGAGGATGACGCAGCTGTAATTCCAGTGCTCTCAGCCACAAGAGAAGCTGATGGATCTGCCGAAGAGCAGCCTGAATCCACAAAGTCAGCAATCGCCTTCGACATTGCTTTGAATTGGTGGAATGTAGTAGTGTTGCTGTAACTCTCAATACTCGCTTCTCTTTGGTGACAATTTATCGCCTTTATCATGTGTCGACCCTCGTAGTTTGCTGCTGATGAAACCGTCTGACGGTGGTTGCCCTGATCGATTGATTCGTCAAATACGGCTGTATTGCTGCTCTTGAGGTCATACCGTGGAGCATGTTTTAAAGCGAATTATGACCCATTGAACTAAGCAGAACCACAATTCGTCTTTGGCAGGATTGAATGATTTGCAAGGGCTTCTTGGCCTTTGAAAAAGATTACTGGATTCCGGATTTAGGTGTCTGATATATTTCGAGATGAGCTTTACTGGACAGCGCTTGGAGCCGGGTCTTTCTATGTCGTTGGATTCGTCATATTGGTCATCAAGACCGCCTTGATGGTTCTTTGTAGCCAACAGAGCTCCTTGCTGGTTGCTCACTTCGTAGTATTCTTCGCCACCTGGTGTTTTCCTCAAGGCAAGCATGGTTTTCTTCATGGCATGCTGGTTTTCCCTGCCTCTTTTGCCGAGGAAAAGGCTGATAACGAACCATGCGGTTTGTTGTAATTTTCCAGGATTATAAGCGTTTCAACAAACTCGACGAGCTCTGCTTCATCGTACAGCTTTTCAACTACCTCTTTTGTCAACGCTTTCATATGGGCAGTAGGAGCTATGTGGCCTCGATCTTTTGCTGAGAGTTTTTTATTAATTGCTGAGGGTTTTGTTTGCTTCTGTAAAAAGAGGTTCTCCGATAATGGAAAAAAGGCTTATTCAGCGGTGGACTTCTCAGATGTCGATCAAGGGCTGACCGAATAGCAGTAAGCGAGTTTTTATTGTAAAAAGTTCCGTCTCGCCTTCTTGACGACAAATAAAACTTTTGCAGGCACTTGTTAAGTTGATGCGGTATCATTTCCTAAATGGTTGATTAAATTCCTCCTCTTGATGAAACCAAGGCTGTAAAGCAGAAGTTAGAGAGATTAAATAACTTACCATTAAAATTAATACTATTACACCAAACTTTGTCGCCATTTTTGTGTTTTTTGGTACAGCCTCCTCGTTCATTGACAGAATTTCCTCTTCGGAAACCGAAGCGAAACGGGAAGCCATCGGCTGCTCGGAGGTGAATAGCACTTGGCTAATCACCTCCGAGCTAGCCAATCGGCGTGCGCGAAAAGTACTGTTCACTTGTGTGGTTTATACTAAATAACAATTATTCACCGAAGTGGAGGTGGCTAGTCGTGGATTTTTACAATTGAGCACAAAAATGGGAAGATTTTTAACTCGAATATTGTTGCCAACAATTACAATTTTGGCGGCTAATAACCGAACGGCCGCGGCCGTCGCTTTTTCTTGCCGATAGTTGAAGGCATTTGTTTAGCTGTTGAGGGGAAATTTCTTCAAAAGGAGTTGTGAATTCTTTTTGTATTTAAAATAATTCTGTAAAAATAGATTATTAAATTTAGCTTTAAGCTTATTTATGAACAAGTCAACTAAATAAAGTAACGCAAGACTTTAGCTCAATTTGCATTTGTAAACAAAAAACTTTTTCACCGGATTTATCGATAAATATGAGTCAAAAAGACAAGGCTTTACCTGTTAAAACTTCCAAACCGAACTTCGTCACCTTCTTCGTGTATTTCGGGAAAAGCTTGCTTGATTAGTTGTGAAATTTCTTTGTTTGTTAAGGCAGCGAACCGGGAAGGCATTTTGCTCGCAACGTACGTGAGTTTGGCGTCGCTCGCTCGGAGGAACTGGAGGTGAATCAGAAGTGAATAGTGCAGGATATTCAACGAAAAAATTTAACTATTTTAACTGTTAGCCGTAAAAAGGTTAAAAAGATTAAACCGTAAAAAAATTTTGCTCCTTAGATTTAATAATTTTGAGGAACGTGCTAAACTCACTAAGAACGGTTGTGTTTCTTATTTCGCGGCTACTTTGACTCTTTACGTTCCCGTTTCTACTAGTTTTGTTTTTCACGAAGATTCTATTCAAATAAACTGTCACGTCTTTTATCAGGAATGGTCCTTTTCATGGCTCACAAAAATTTTAGTTGACTGGCAATAGCTTAATCTTTTGTTTCTACTTTAAACAAAGAGTTCAGAATGGGAAAACTGCGGCAAAGATCTTCAAAGCCGCCTACTTCTCAGCTTGGCTCCGACTGAGGTGTCTGGTGTTTGTTGGGGGGGGGGGGTGGATTCCGCTTTTCCATTAAAACTTCTTTTATTGTAGACACTAAGGGCTGGTATTGTGTCACGAAAGGCAACATTTCTGGAAGGTTGCCATTTGTTTAAACTGTGTATTACATTTTACTTTACATTTCTTTTAGATGAATCGATCTTGTGCCTTTGTATACAACTGTGTCTAAAAACAAAGTCTTAGTGAATTTCGGTGGTGAATTTGAAGGTAATGTGAGTTTACTTGTTCCGGTTTACTTATGTCCCACAGCGAAAACATGTCATCCATGTCGCGTTTCCAAACATGCAGTTGGTTTAAAGATGGTTTTGCTTAGACTTTGTGATTAAATATATACAAAGAAAGAGTTGGCAGAGGAAACTGCTGTCTTAGTTTGTGCTCATCGCGGTACCGTGAGTTTGTAGGTAGAGCTTTCCATAGAAATGGAAAGAATTTTCTTCAGGATTTGTCTAAGCATTTCTTGCTGGTAATGTGTAGGAATAGGTGGGTTTCTAAAGACAAGATCAAACCAAGATGTTCATAAACTGACGCAACTTCAACAATGGTATTGTTCAAGATCAATGGGTGGTAAAAAGGCTAATTTGTTATTATTACCAATACAGTCTTAGATTCTGAATTCCGGATTCCAGGTAATGAATTCCGGATTCTTTGTATGCGGAACTTGGATTTCGGATTCCAATCGTTAGTGGATTTCGGATTCCTAGAGTTGTATTCCGGATTCCAAAGACCAGGATTCTGGATTCCATAAGCAAAAATTTCCCGGATCCGGAATCCTGCTTGCCTTACCTGGGGCGATCCTTTTCTGCGAAAAAAAGCAATTAGTCTTTACCACATGTTTGGCCCAACCAGATTATCTCTATTTCATTACTTTGCCTGAACAAAATCTTTTTATCTTGGAGGTAAACGAGCAAGCACGTCTTAAAAAGAATGAACAGTTTGATTGGTTGACACTGGTGACATTTTTTTTTTCTCCAGATTAATTCAGGTTGTTATATTCCTAGACTTTCACCAAGAGAGAATGATCTAAAAGAGCGAATCCCCCATACATGACCCTCTTTCCATGAAAATTATTTTCAATCTGTTCTAAGTTCTGTGTTATACTGCGTGGTTATTTTAAGGACGCCACCTTATTGGTCGGTTTGAGTGGCGTTATGTAATTTTAAACTTGGCGAGTAATTCATTTCACTGCCGATCACGCACAGCTAGCGATATGACGTGCAAACTTAGCTGAAGGTAAATATCAACCACTTTC